GGGGGGGGGGGTGGACTTTCAAGCGACAAAGTTTAGAGAACTGAGATTTGAGCTGCAAAAGGGTGCAATATGTTGTCAACTTACATGGTGTCCCAAAAAATGCCCCCACTGTGCTTTGTGGTATTGCAATGTCTGCTTTGATAGAAGTTTCAGATTTCTATACTAGATATTATCCTGTCGTTTTAATCCATTGATACTTGATAAAAAACCCCAACTTTTTGCCTTCTAGATTCAGTTAATTAAAGTGCCAATATCACTTGTTTTTTTTCGTTTTTGTTTTTTCCCCCAATATATTTATTGAGAACATTACATTATATAATTAATATTATATATAAATATATATAATTAATATTATGTATAATGAATATGAACTCAAATGACATAAGCACACACGGGACGCGAAGTCCCATGCAAGGTGCAAACCCCGAAGCAGCGAAATACGTACATAAATATAAATACAGACATACATAAATACAAATATATAAAAGCCGCTTCCCCCTATTAGTATGCACCATGAACACAACCACTTGTTGGACCTTTATGGATTTGAAAAGAGCGTAAAAATTAGTTAATAAGTTCAAAAGATTTTTTTGATTTAGTGCAATAATTTCGAAGGCTCCTATGCACAATGGACAGTTTCGAAAAAGGCGAAATTCAATAGCCGTGTTTAAACCCCAGGAGGCTGGGACTCAGGAACAGTCAGTTGTTTAAAGGCCTATATCCTCAACACTATTGCACTAAATCAAAAAAGCTTTAGATCTTGACGAACTTATTAATCTCTTCAAATCCATAAAAGTCCCACAAGTGATATATACTGTAGGCACTTCGACACCAATATTTCTACTGGTCCGAATTATAGAAATTAGGCCAAAAGTATTTCAGGCTTTTAAAAAGGGAACTTTAAAGAGAATTCCCACCTGTCTACTGTTAAAGACAGGGTTTGTGTTCCCTAACATTACAGATTTTGTTTGATATAAAACTTACTTAAAATGATTCTGAAGCTTAGGCAGAAATTAATTACTGAAAATGCCCTCAAATTTCTGGTTTGTAGGGCAAAAACCTGAATAAAGAATAATGGTGTAAGAAGACACATGAACAGTATTGAAATGTTAAGGTGCAACTTTCAAATGATAAACTTGATCGAAAGTAATTATTTATTTAATTTCATAAAAAAATTCCATTATTTTATATAATTTGCATATGTGGACAAGTTAGAATATCGGTATTGCCACCTGAAGTGATTCTTGAACGCAAGAAGTTCGGTTATTTTGGTTGGATAGTTATTTCATCCCGTCTGAAACTTCTACGTACTAAAGTTAACGTTGCAATACCATCAAGTGTATAGTAAGGGTCATTTTTGGGGGGACACCATGTAATTCGTTCTTCTTCCAATATTTCTCAAGTAGCCACCACTGAAAGTAAATTCGCTATATCTTAGATGCACAATGATACAAGCGGTAATTTTTTTACACTTTCAAATACTGTCAATAGTCTGATCCATTATCCAGCGAATGGTACACTGCAATCATATGTCTGACGAATATCTTGTCCTGCAGAAACATTCATTAAATGTTACATCAACTTTGAAACAAACATGCAGGTTATACTTTATATAGCTAGTACAAAACGTCAAAACTAACGCCAGAAACTTGGTAAAAATTGCTCTAAGCCCTTCTAAGCCCTTTGCAAACTTCACACAAAAAGACTGACTGTTTTTTTGAAATATTGTTCTCTATGTTAGATACATTTGAATTTGAGTTTGTTGATTACCTTTAACTATCCAACAACCTAATGGCCAAACTTGGCTAAAAATCTATAAACCCACGATTGTTATGTTCATTAGAGGAATACTGCACATGCATGCTTCATGCCGTGAAATTACAACATTACATTCAATTGCATTCGCGAATTATGTCTCACTTCACATCATCAATGTACATCACCAGTGTTGATATGGAGGAAACTCGTTAGTAAAAACACGAAGTTTCCCATGCTCGGGGCCTTTAGCCCACATGAACAGTTTTTTAAAGGAGCTGTACAATTGACCCATTGTGCCATGCTGCCAGGCAAGTTGGTGAATTTGATCAGCGTCAGTCAGAATCCCATCTATCTTCAGACTGCGATCGTACAGACGAACAACGGAAGGGTTGAAATCTTTTCTACCCCTGTCCATTTCGGCCGAGGATACTTTCACGATAAACCTTGTCGTCGTATCTGGTGGCGGACAGTATTGTGGACCGACGGGAAGAAGGCCTGGTGCTCGCTCTGATGTCTTAAATGGAATGTGTTTATTAGGAGATAAATGTTCCGTCATTATTGGTTTTCGAACATAGTTTACAACAATACTTCCATCAGATAAAAAGCGATCACACACCTTCTTGTGGTTTTTCCAATCACTTTTCTGGCATTCTCTTCCACAGTATTGAGCCGTAAAGCAATTGGTGCATTGCTTCAATTTGTTTTCAGGCTTTTTGCAGTAGTAGCATAACTTGGCTTCACTTTGTGCTGTTGATTGATTCCTCTTTTCTTTGTTATTCTGAAACTTATTTTCACTGGCTTTAGATAACTGTTCATGATCGCAAATCCCAGGTCCACAATTATTACAAATGTCATTGTATTCAATAACAGACCTCCCGCTCGAACAACTGGTTTGTAAAAAAATGCCACCGCACTGGTTATTATGGATTTTATTTTCCTTTATGACAGCCCGACTGGAAGTTAAAAGTATGCCCCAATGATTGTTTTTTAAGATCTTGTTCTCAATTATAGATACATTTGAATTTATAATCACTGATATCCCAGGCTCGTCGTTATCATAAATACGGTTCCCCTTTATTATCACATCAGATGCACAATTAACAACAAGAATACCACTCAACTCGTTGTCATAAAGCTCACAATCTTCCACAACACATTCGCTTGCTTTTGGACCAATAAGCAATCCTTGCCGCTTATTGCCGTACATTCTACTTTTTCTGACAAGCAAACGTCCTCCCTCCCGCACTTCTAAAGCCACTTCATTGCCAAAAAACGTTGAATTTTCAACCTCTGCGTCACCTACAACCAGCAGCCCACCTTTGGTGCAATTATAGAACTTGCAAGAATCGACTTTCAATTCACCATAGCAACAAAAAGAAGTGTAAGAATTGTTGGAACTCTCAAACGAACAATGAGTGAGTTTCACGACTGAGTCAGGTAGAAAATGACAGTTAGAAAAGCGAGTACGAAAACTAACATTGTAAGCCATAAAAACTTCACCAAAACCTACACAGTGATTATCATCAAATGTTATCGAACATTCACCTTCACCGCCTACAAGAATGCAGTTTTTAATGGTAAGACTACGTACCTTACCATAACTACCAAACAGGTCGGAATCAATAGTGTGCGAGGACACAAGGTAATCACCGTTTTCTAGAATGACAACTGGAAAACCTTCAGAATTGTTTCTGGATAGATTCCGGCAGTGATCCAAAATTCTTATTTTCCACAAGGCTTTTGACAAACTTAAGGTATCGTGGCAAACAAACAGACGCTTCTCCATTGAAGAGCCAAATATTCTCCTAAAAGGTTCAAAATCACGGAATAAATTCCTCTCGTAGTAATATGCTATCGAAGCTGCAACACACGCATCCTGCATATTCTTCAACTCAATAAGAGCCAGTGCCTTTTTCGCATAACCTCTCCAACATTTTGGGCGTTGTAAAATGTATTCTTCTGCATCTTGCAAGGCTTCATCATATTGCCCAAGCTTAAGATATACCGATGCTCGATTACTTAACAACATAACATCAAAGAAAGCTGTATTCTTTGATATGTCAATTACCTCAGAATAGATTTTTAATGCATCATTGTAAAACCCATTTTTAAACAAATCATTTCCTTTCATTCGCATTTCTTCCAACTGTTCAGAGGAAACTGAAGGGATTGGCATTTCCACACCGTCTCTAGAATCATCTTTCATGGTACTTGCTGGTGTATTGCATGAATACTGTATTTGCCGGCGAAATAACTCGGGTAGAGGCATAGTGTGAGGAAAAAGGGAGCTTGCAGGAATTTGCTGATTGCTTAAGTTAAAGATACAAATGGCAAAATTGACTACTTCTTTTGCTTCATCGTGCTTGGAGTTAGCACTCAAATGAACAGCACATTCGTACACTATTCTAGCTGTTTCAGGTAGAAATATCTTCACGCAATCGACGTTAGACAGTTTGAACATTCTCTTCAAATGTCTTACCAGATCGTAACTATGTAAACATAGTTTATGCCAGTTGTAAAAACGCGACTGATCACCACAAATAATAGACGGTCGTTCCTCCGTTTCATTTGAAAGAAGTTCGTCAGGAGAGGAACAATTTTGGAAAGCATAATGTAACATACGAATGGCATCGTTAATGGATTGGAGTTCCTCTTCTTGATTAAGATTTTCCAATATGACCTCCTGTACTAACTGGTGCACGTTAAGGTTGGAAGATAAAGTTTCCTTAAAAAGTGAAAAATCTGTTAACAGTTTCACGACTTGTTGACGCCCCAAAGTTGTCTTCACACATTCACTAAATTCTTCGTCCTCGACAGGTGGTTCACCAATGTTGATAATATCTTTTTGAATCTCATTTGGATTTAAAAATGCTGATGCGTAGAGAAATCTAACAGCAGACTTTCCATCGTCAACACTCTGTTTGATGTGCTCGAAATTAAGATGCCACGTTGTACGAACAGCTAATCTCTCAGGCGAATCATAAACTGAAACAGGCGTTGCCTTTTGTCGGTTAAGAAGACGAAGATGCTGCTTCTCATAAAGCTCTAGGTATTGAGGTATTGTACAAGGCAGTGATTTGATATAAGCACCGGCTTGCTCAAGAGCTAAAGGTAGCCCACCAAGCTGTTGAACTAATTTCTCAGCAACTCTATCCACTTCTTCGTCGTGAACGGTTCCAACTCTGCGGAAAAGAAATTTCTTCCCTTCTTCAATTTCAAAACATTTAAGGCTTAGAACACATCTCTCGTCGAAATCTCTGATATCGTTGGCTAAAGCAGTAGGCTTTCTTCTCGTGGTAATTACAAGGTGACCGGACGCATCCTGTTGCCAAGGTCCAGATACCAGCTTAACAACATTGGACGAAAGACTTGACTGATCCATGTTATCAAGAATGATCAACCACGGATTCTTATTTCGAGATATCATTTCCAGTGTAGCCGAAAAGGTAAGTCCGAATGAATCCCTTTGTGTCCCGAAGCGCGTAGCAACATCGTAAACACTGTTTTCAAACGTAGTGTTGTCTTCACCAGAGAACCAATAAACACCTCCAGTATAGAAATCCTTCCTCTGTTGCGCATACTCGGTAGCCAAACTTGTTTTGCCCACTCCACCCAAACCGCACACAGCTGCAGTATTTACTTTAGGTTTACTGGTAGTTCCTTGATCTAATTGCAGAAGACTTGCCAAGTCTTCTATTTCAGTTAAACGACCAGCGAACCACGGATTTTTCCTGGGAGCATAAAACACATAAGGGGTCTCACTAGTAGTAGTACCCATTTTAGCAACCTTGCTTTTGATTTTCTCGACATCTTGAACGGTGCTAACATATTGATTATGCAATGTTAGCTGTTCCAATTTAAGCCGATCGACATTTTCTTTTATGCCACGTATCTCTTTGTTCAACAAAGTTTGAAAATTCTGAAGAGAATACAACAGCTTTTCCTGTAAGAAGATGTAAATACTGGAGTTTATATGAGTTATAATACAAGAACACCACTTCTACTTTCTGCAACCCTTCATGCAACCTGCCTCCCAATAATTCTGGTTGTAGTAAGTAAGTGATTTACTTAATTATTTATTTTATTTAAAATAATTTGCCGTAAGTAGGAAGGTGCAACAAAAAAAGGACACGAAGTTCCATACAAGGAAGTGAACCTGGTTTACAGAACAACAAAATTTATTAAACTATATACTCACACTATAAGTTAACAGATACAAATTGACATTGCATCAACATTAATGTTAGATAGTACAATCATTCATATGAAAAATTGCATCAAATGTAATTACGTAATAGCGGCTTAATTAAGGCTGCTTTCCTGTTAAGGTGATTCTTCAGTAATTGTTCTGGAAATAGAATTTGCTGAAACTTCCCAGGAGTCATATGCTCATGGTAAGAACAGAAAAAAATTGGGGTCACCGAACTCGTTTGGAAGATATGACAAGTGCAATATGCCACCTTTTTCCTCATATGGCGCCATCTTGACTCTTACGAGTTACAGGAACAATCGCAATTTTTCAAGTTTTTAACAAGGGTCCTACTAAAAATGTTTACCTATGCCATTATGCAAGTATAGATACTATGCCATCGATGCTATAACATCGTTCGAGTAAGTTGGTGGCACCAATCAGCAACGAGCTTACAAATTTACGGTGAGGTAATTGTTCACCAATCAGAGACAAGCTTAATTATACAATGTAGTACAACGAAAATCCAAGATGGTGGCTATAAAGTTGATGCAGATGGGAACTGTTAATGTCAATAAATTTTGAGTAAACTTTGAGAGACGAAATATCTGAAATATTTTAGTCCAATTCATTTAAATTAAAGTCAGGTAAAGAAGCGAACGAACGACTATCTTATAGTTGTATTGTTTTTATTATAATAATATACACAAAAATATTACTCGATTATGATTGGTTGATTTCAGTGCAGTTACTCCCAAACAGCAGTGCAATGTTCTGTAATCACAGTGCAAAAATCTGTAACAAACTGATCTGATTGGTGGAAAAACAATGTGATAATAAAATCAACCAATCAGTTTAAAGCAGTTTTGTTTAAAGAAGTAACGGTCACAGATTGCTTTCAAAACAAAACAAACATAGCGCCGCGCTACATAAAGTAAAAGTTGACTTCGATATGGAAAATATGGCTTTTATCTTTTTTCTAAATGGAAAAGCCTTTACCTTAAACATGACTAACAAAACTTAAATAGTTGAGTGGAATTTTCAAGCTGTTAGCGTTGTATAATGTGATTTATTATATAAAGTATAGTGCTTTATAGAGATTTCGAGCACTGATAAAAGTGATAATCTCACATGTGAGATTTTTCATGATAATCTCACATGTGAAAATTATCGCGTTTTAATTATCGCTTTTCTGTAAAAATTATCGCTTTTCAAAGACTGTCCTTTATATAATAAACAGAAAAATACATGGGTGCTTGGAAATACCAGATTTATTTTTCGTGTTGAACATGATATCTCACTCGTTCGCTGCGCTTACTCGTGAGATATACACTGTGAGATATATACTCGAAATGTGAGATATATACTCGTGAGATATATACTCGAACTAAATCTGGTATTTCCGCGCACCCATGTATTATTTTCTATATATAACAAAGACCAGGAAAACTTTGCCAGTGGACAGTTTGCTATAAACGTAAGTTAAAACTACAATTGTCTCGAACATTTTTATGTAAATTATTAAGAGGCAATTTTTTTCAATGTCACGTATTTGCAATGAAAAGTGTTCAAAACCTAAAATCTTTTTGGCGTTCCTCTCAAAATTACTTTGTTTTAGCTTTATTCTCTAGTTTATACAGTTAGCTACCTTTTTAAATGTATCTGCCGGTTGAAAAACATAAAATAATAGTTAAAAATTGTCAATTAAAATACAATTATCAATGATGCTTTAAAATTGACGCCATATTTACAGCCATATAAGCAAAACTTACTGAACTTCAGACATCCGATTTTCTCTTTGGCGTTTCATCTAAAATCTTTTCATTTTAGCATTATTTTACAGATAAAGCACTAAACATACTTTTTAAGTTTGTTTGCCGATTGAGAATCGTATCGAAAAATAAAAATTTTGAATTTAGTCATAACCACAAGTGGTATATTATACGCATTAGTTTTGAGCGCGTGTTACGTAACATATACAAAAACATCTCCTCTTAATAAGTAGCATGGTTTGAGGTCTTTGAAAAACTCACTCGTGCATGTTATATCCAAATTACACTCGAAACCTGCAAACCATACTATTACCTATTCTACTAGAAATACATGCATGCAGCAACCCCTCGCCTATATTTTCCAAACATTGACTTAACATGAAGTATCATTAATTGATCAACACTGAACGCAGGCTCGCGTTTACGTCAGTGTTGTCGTGGCAACACGATAATTTTTATTCAGTGCTTTTGTACAACCAAAAATAGTTGAAAGATTATTGCTTTTAACTATAGAACAATGAATTTCCGAAATATGTACTGTAGGTATATTGTTCTGGATTTTGTGAGCTTTGATTTAATGTAAAATTAAACCTGAATCGCTTCGTAAAATGCTTTGAAATGTTCATTTTAATATATCAACTAAACTGCTTCTCATTAAAAGTAAGTCTCCATTTTAGGCTATAGTTATGAACTTGTACAAGCATGTTATCAAGACCTCGTTTTAATCTTGACATTAACGTAAGATC